TGGCAGCCCAAGGCCTCAGGCACACTAAGCAAGCCTGTACCCTAACCACCCAGCTTCCTTTCATAGTTTATTACATTTGTTTCCCCTGTGCATACACGTGTGTAGGCATTTGCTGGTGGTCACAACCCTGTGGGGATCAGAGGGCAGCTTGTGGAAGTAGGCTCTCCTTCTACCAAGCAGGTGTCCAAGCACTGGGCACAAATTTGCACAAGTGTACATACAGTTCCACGGACCACCAAATACAAAAGAACAGATACAGAACTACCCCGGAACCCTACACTCTTCCCCTCCCTCCCTCTCCCCTTCCCCCCTCTTCTCTGCCGCCTTTTCATAGGTGGGAAAACCCGGGGCACGCCGCCGAGGGCTGAAGGGACTTTGAAGACGGAAGCCCCTCCCGACTCCAGGCAGAGGCTACGACCGGGCGCCCCCTTCTGGCCCAGCCCTGAAAGAGCGTGCGGGGCCGCGGCGGCGCGCGGGGTGGGCACGCGCCTGATGTAACCATGGCACCCTCTTGGCACGCGCGGCCCGCGCGCGGGGAGGGCGGGGCGGGCGCGTTGCCATGGCGCCGGCCGGCCTCCTGAATGCCGCATTGTTCACCGAGGCGCCCGGGCTGGGCTGTCCCGGACCCACCCGGACCCACCCGGGCTGGCAGAGATGGAGAGAAGGAAAGACACCCGAGATGTAGAGAAACGGATGTGGAGACAGTGACAGGGAGGAATGCGGAGGGGAAAGCGGCGGACAGGGGCATGCATACAGGGAGACTCGGAAGGAGAAGGCGGAGTGGAGGGAGGCATAGGTCTGAGGAAGACACGGGGCACACACCCACGCAGTGACAGGGCAGCGAGGCTCGTGGGTTCTAGGCCGGTGTCAGTCACACCGCCGGGAGGGGCAGCGGAGGAGGTGGCCCGGATGGCCAGGAGTTTGGCTCCCTAGCACCTTCGTGGAAAAGCAGGCAGCATGGGGCCCAGGCCTGTAAGTCTGGGGAGGCAGAGGCAGGCGGATCCCGGGGGACGGTGGCCGGCTAGCCCTTCAGACTCGCCACGAGACCCTGTGTCGAAACAATTAAGGCGGGAAGCTGGTGCTGCGGTGAGCACCCTTACCCCCAGCACAGGCAGGCAGAGCTGGTCAACACTGGGTTTCAGGGCAGATAAGGCAACATCCGGCCTGAGAAGGAAAAGAGTGGGGAAACTAGAGGAAGACAATTGGAGTTAACCTCTGGCCTACACACACTCATGCATGCACGCATACGCACACGCACGCACAGTGCAACACGCGCGCGCATGCACGCACGCATGCACGCACACGCACGCACCCACGCAGGGGCAGATGGCAGAGACACACGATGCAGGAACATTCAGAATCCACGAGGAAGCGATGAGGAGATGAGTGACATCCTGGACACGGACACAGGAGGAAGGATGGAGAACCAGTGAGGAAATGAGAGGGAATGAGTTTGAACAGGAGAACACCAGGATCAGGGGCGTCACTGCACTCCTTGGTGTGCCTGGCAAGGATGAGACCACAATTAGAAAAATCTGGGTTCGGGGAGACTAGTGGGTCTGCTCATGGGTTGACAGATGAAGGGCCAGGTGTATCCAGACACAGGGACTGTCCCAAGAGAAGCCTAGAGATTCACCTCTGATCCCTGCTTCAAGTTTCTAGCCCTCCCTGCTGTCCCCTCTCCGCTAGCTCAGTGTGACACTCCCAGAATGTCTGCCTTGTCCTGCTAATAATGCGTCACTCATACAGAGACACAGCCTTCCAATGCTGCTCCAGACGCTCCAGAAGTCTTTCCCCCAGGGACACACTATATTTCTTTACAACGCTTATGGGCACACCCATGGCAACCACTTGACATAATCAGACACAGATGACATGACAGGGACTCCTACTGCACATCAGACTATCATCACCTCAGAGACGCAGCCAGAGAACACGTTGGACTTCATTGTAATCATCCAATGATCAGATAAAAACACACACCTGTGGCCAAGGCTTGGTGGCGCACATCTTTAATCTCAGGACTCTGGAGGCCAACCTAGTCTACATTGTGAACTCAAAGACAGATAGTGCTACATAGAGGAGAGTCTGTCTCAAGGAGAAAAACTGCAGGTTACAGGGACTGCTGTCACAAGGGCCACCCATCTCCTCAATCTTCAACGTCCTACAACCTGTCCAAGAGACACTTGTGTGGGAACGTTGGGGCACCGGGCTCACTATCCAGATTTGGGTGGAGGGAGATGAAAGGCATGAGTCCTCACATGAGATTTGAAGAGAACAAGGAAGTTACTCCCAGACTTCCTCAAAAAAGTTGGGTCACTCCAGTCTGCTCGTCCTGTGGCCCCACAGTGAGGTCCGTCTATCCCAAATCTAGACCAAGGGCGGCCCCTGGTGGTCACATGTTGTCTCTACGCTGATATTTAGGGGTTGTGATTGAAGGTTTAATTATAGAACAGAGACAGGTCCAGGATGAGGACACAGAGACCCAGAACTCAGCCTATGTAACCCACGTCCTGGAATTCATAGTCACAGTCTAGGTTCTGGAGGAGGGGCTGGGGTTCAGCATCAAAGCACCTGCTTCAAATCCTCCAATGAGACTCTGGGGGCAGGGCAGCACAGTAGGGATTTTATCTAGTTTATACAGGTTCTGTCTACAGAATCAGAAAGAAAAAAAAGACTTACAGATGCTGAGATGTAGAAAACCAGATCCAAGAATGCAGGACCCAGAACCTAAAACCTAGATTCTCGTTCTAGAATCCAAGTCCAAAAGTCTAGATCTGCCAAGCAGGGGTGCTGCACGCCTTTAATCCCAGCACTCAGGAGGCAGAGGCAGGGGGATCTCTGTGAGTTTGAGGCCAGCCTAGTGTACTGGGTTAGTTCCAGGATAGCCAGGGCAGTTACACAGAGAAACCCTGTCTCGGGAAAAAAAAATCTAGATCCCATTGTTTAGACCTGGAATCTTGAACAGAAAATACAGTTCCAAGAACAGAGAAACCAAAAACAGGCCTGCAGTGGTCTACGTCAGAACTCTCTGGATCAGAGCTGGGCTGTGGAGAGCAGGAACAGATCGAATGGGCAGCAGAGAACCTGGGGTGAATGTCCACAGACCCCGCCAGCTGATGCTGCTTCCCACACACACGCACACACTCGCACGCACGCACACACACACACGAACGCACGCACGCGCACACGCACACGCACGCACACACGCGCACACACACACACACACCCATGCACATGCAGATTCATACCCCCACCACACACAGTCTACAGCTGTAAGAGCTACAGTACTACACGCTCTCTGATGCACATCCACAATCACACACACTGCACGCACTCACACTCTAACACACACCGTCATCCAAAGGCAAATCAGTCTCCACCGTTCCTCGTTTAGCGTATCCACGTTCGTGCTTACCTAGACACCCACAGTGTCACATCCGTTCCTCTCCTCCACCTACCATGCCCTCAGACACACAGTCGCCACTCAAAACCAAGGCTCCCGAGTCCTGTGCCCAGTCACAGTCGGGGAGAATAGCTACGGAGGCTAGGACGGGTGCGTGTAGACTCACATTGTGTGAGCACACACAGTGCAAAGAAGCTTCATGCCTTGGCAGCTACACAACCCCTGGGAACCAGACTCCAGGGATGGGGCTCACCGTGCACCCCCTTACCCACCCCAGCCCTCCCCTGCCTGGCCGGCTGGCGGGCTTTAATACAGATGCCAAACTCATAATTGTAACTGAGGGTGACAGGGTCACCTTGAGCCCCAGATGCTCGCACGATGACAGATGGCGTTGGCAAACCTGATTAGCAGCCCCCGGTGCCAGAGCCTGTGGCACCTGCCTCCCTGCCCCTCCCCCGCTCCCCCAGCTCTCATTACCCGCCCATTACTGGGCCTGGGGGGCAGCAGCGGAGGCCGACTGGCAGTGCCTGGGAGGGCGCATTGACTCTGGGCCCCCTGGCACCAAGGTTCCCAGCTGGCTCTCCAAGCTGGCAGGAGGTGGGCACAGCTGAGGTGGAGGGATGCAGGCATCTTGTGCCCGCCAGGAAAGGGGCGCCAGGACCGAGCTGCCAGCTCAGGCACTGCATGAGGCCTGCCACCAAGCTCTAGGGACAGGCAGGAGGGCGCTCCCACTCCCAGGGCTCCATGACCCTCCCTCCGGGACGCTCTTGGGAGCTGGCAGCCAGGCAGGTTCCCACCCCTCTGTTCAGGCCTGCGGGGTCAGGGGTCGCAGCTCCCGTGCTGTCCCATCTGTTTCCTTGTGGGGGGCCCTCCTGTTCCCCTCACCTGGTGCCTTCCTTCCTGAGGCAGGAAGAGGGGCGGGGGGGAAGCTTGACCAGCTCCCTCCACCCTGCTTGGGGTGGGGGCATTTGGAGGCGACGCTTCCACATGTCTCTGAGTCTCTGCCAAACGGGCCCATCTGCCAGAGCCCTGGTCCCAGGCGCACGAAGCTAGGCCGCCTGGCTGCCGCACACCCTGCCCCCTAGCAGAGAAGGGAGCCCCTGCCCAGGAAGCCCTAGTGAAAGAGACGCACGCACAGCTGTACTTGGCCAACCTTTATGATTCCCGTGGAATGCCAGGCTGGGCGTGGGCTGCTGCGGGGACTCGGATGGGGCAATAAGGGGAACCCCAGGCACTGTCAATGAGACAGCTGCGCACACTCGGGGTCGCTTCTGGTGGAGGCCAGGTTTTCCCAGCAGCTGCTTCCTTCCCGCTTGTCTGCCATGGCTTTTTATTGTTGTTGTTGCTGCTGCTGCTTTTCTGGTGTCCCTAGAACGGGGTCATCTTTGCTGAGTGTCTGGGTTTGGATGGAGCTGTCATCCCAGCAGTTAGGAGTGTCTGGCTCGGACAGAGAGATGCAGTGCCACCTCGTGGTCAACAGCGGAACTCCAGGCTGGGGGAGGGCGCTCAGCGGGGAGCTGTGCTGCGCGTGCTCAAGGCCTGTCTCGACGCCCCCTCCCCCGTCCCCACCCCTTCCCTCCCCCACCCCCGCCAGGTGATAGTGCCTCAACGGCTTCAGTTTCCTCATCTGCAAAATGACCTGTGGTGAAATTCTACCCTGTGGAACCACTGAGGGCTGGTCCTTGAGGATGCTGTAAGGTAGCGCTTGTGGAAGGAATATCCCCTCCCTCACAGGGCCCTGCGAATCACACACTACAGCTGGTTTTCACCTTTTCCCTCCACACATCCCCGCGTTAAGAATGGAACCCGGGGCCGGGCGCACGGCTTTAATCCCAGCACTCGGGAGGCAGAGGCAGGCACATCTCTGCGATCAGTTCGAGACCAGCCTGGTCTACAGAGTGAGTTCCAGGACAGCCTCCAAAGCCACAGAGAAACCCTGTCTCGGAAAAAAAAAAAAAAAAAAGAATGGAACCCAGGGCTTCATGCATGGTATGCCATGACTATGAGTGGTCTCAACCCATGACTGGCAGACCATGTCTCGTGTCCCAGGAACAGACGAGGATCTTGTGCACCTGATCTGCCCTAACCCTGCTCTCTTGACCTGATGATGTACATCATTCAGGTCACGTCTTTCTACCGCATCTCCTGCCTCTTCCCACGGTTCCTGTGCTGTGCAGTCCTCCTGACGTCACAGCTTCGGACGGCACTGGCACTTCTGCACCAGGGTGATGGGCATCCTCACTGGCCGACGGGAGGCTGTGTGGCCAGCCCCACACCACAGCACCGCCGAAGTCTGGCGCTTTTGAGCGGGCACACAGCTGTTGCAGAGGACTGCGGGGGTGGGACCCGCACTGGGAATGTAGAAGGAGGAACAGTGGCCGAAACACAGACGATTAAGGACCCTGGCAGCTGTGCAACCAGGCCTGGAAAGCACCTGCAAACGGACAGGGGGACGGTCAGCACTGTGTAGTCTAGGGCTGGAGGGATGAGAATAATTACCCTCCCCTTCCACCCCTGACAAAGTGTGGATGCTGAAGGCTCGTGGCCTGGGTTCCTATTCTGAGTCCTCCTCCTGGCTGTGTGACCTGCACCAAGTTATTCACCTTTCTAATCCTCTTTCTTGGATAAAATCTTCCAAATCCAGGGCTGTCCAGAGTCAGTAGAATGATGGGGTCAAGCATGAAGACCCGAGTTCAGATCCCGAGCACTCACATAGAATGGGGCTCATGTCTGTAATGTCAGCACTGGGAAGCTAAGGCAGACAGCTCAGCTTGGCTGAACTGATGAGCTCCTGGAGCAGTGAGACTGCCTGTCAGACAAGGCATGAGGGAGCTGGGGAGGTGGCTTAGGGGTTAAGATCACTACTCTTCTAGAAGACCTGGGTTCAATTCCCAGCACCCACAAGGCAACTCACAACTTCTCCAGGGATCCAGCTTCCTCTTCTGGGCCCCAAGCCTGCATGTAGCACACAGATGTATATGCAAGCAAAACATCCATAATTTAAAAAAAAAGGAACAGAGCAGTTGAGGACCCTGAACCTCTGTCCTTTATTCATGTGTCATGGTGCCCGTGTGGAGTCGTGGACAGATTGTGGGGAGCACCTCTCTCTCCTTCCGCCCTGTGGACCCCACACACACACTACATAGGGGTCAGCAAGATAGCTCAGTGAGCAAAGGCACTTCTGCCAAATCTGATAACCGGAATTCAGTTCCTGTGGCCAGCACAATGAAGGGAACGAGGTGTCCTCACGTGTACCCACAGGTAAGTGTAGTTACATTTGTTGAGACAGGGTCTTACTGTGTAACCCTGCTATCTAGAACTTGCTGTGTGGACTGGGCTGGCCTGAAATTCCCAGAGAACCACCTGCTTCTGCCTCCCAAGCATGCTCAGCATTGGAAAAAAATTTAAAAAGGAAAAGAAGAAACTACTTGAAACCTTTAAAAAATTTTGTTATTGAGACAGGTCTCATATAAGCCCAGGCTGATCTCAAACTCACTATTTAGCAAAGGTTGGTCTTGAATTGCTTATCCTTTTGCCTCAGCCTCCGAGTTCCATTATACACGCCCAAGGCCCTGGGTTCCACACCCAGCACTAGAGGACAAAAGTGACAGTCCCTAACTCCTATGCTGTCCTCTGCTAAACCCAGACGTGATTTTATGTCTTCCCTGTGATGCTGGGGCCAAGGTTACTACATCCCTATTCCCAAATGAGGAAACTGAGGCTTGTGCTGCCTGAGACCACACAGCAGCAGGAAAAGGTGCCAACCTAAGTGTCTTGTGCCGTGTGGGGCAGGTGCAGCTCTGGACTCAGCAGTGAGCTGGACGCGAAGCTGAGCTCTGTTAGGTGCAGCCATTGGTGGCAGGCGGCAGATGTACACTGTGGAGTGGGCGTGGTGGTTTGCATAACCCCAGGACACAGAAGCATGAGTTCCAGGCCAGCCCGGACTATTGGTGAGACCTCTCTTGAAAGGAGACAAATCAATCTGGGTCTCCTGGATTCCAGGACTTGACAGGAGGTTTGGGAAGTGGTTCCCTACTGAGCATGGCTGGAAGCACTCTGCAGGAACCCAGGACTGTTATCTCTACTATGTGGGAGTGAGGAAAGGTTAGGCTAGCTACAGACACCAACAACGAAGCAGGATTTGAACTCAGCCCAGAATAAGAATTCCCGAAGCCCTTCTGGAACACCAACTGAATGCAGATATGAGATCATTTTTTGTTCAGCTTCTCCACAGCCCAGAGAGGCACATGCTACTAGTCATTCATTCACTCACTCACTCATTCATTCATTCATTCAACAACATCCACTGTGTGCCTAGCCCTGTTGTAGGGCTTGGGGACAGGAATATTGGAAGAACAAACTCAGATAACCTCTGCCCTAGAATAGGGTGTATCTCAATAGGTGGAGTGCTGGCCTAGCATCCTTGGGGTCCTGGGTTCCACCTCCAACACCACATGATCTCGGCTGTGGTGCGCACCTGTAATCCCAACATTCGGAGGCAGAAAGTTCAAAGCCAGCCCCAAGCTCCCTAAGTCCCAGGCTAAAACAACAAAATCTCTGCTCCCAGATGGGTGTGGTGACTCAGGAGAAAGATCACTGAGCTAGAGGGCAGTCTTCGGTGCATAGCAAAACCCCGTTTAAACACACACACACACACCACAGAGTGTGTCATGTGACAGGAGTGAGGGAGAGGGAGAGTACCCAAAATCAGGGAGGTCAAAGAATGTAGAACCTTGTAGGTTCTGAGAACCTGGACTTTTGTTCAGAGAAAGGTGAGAACCACAATGGCTTGGAGGGGAGCAGGGGATATGCATTTGTCAACAGCCTCTTCTTGGCTGCTAATTAGGCGAATAGACTCAGCAGCTGGAGATGGGGCTCAGCTGGTACAGCTTTCCTCACATGCATGGAGTGCTGGTTTCCTTAAACCAGATGTGGTTGCATGTGCCTGTATGTCAGCATGAGGTGAAGTCAGAAGTGGCATTTACCTACATAGAGGCCAGCCTGGGCTACAGGAGCCTATGTCTCAAAAAAAAAAAAAAAGGAGAGGGGAAAAGAGAATAGATGAGAGAGATGAGGATGAAGGACCCTGGAACTCACGGGCATTTAAATGGAGGATTCAGGACTTGAGATTTGATTGCAAGTCTGCCCAAGGCCACATAGCCTGTGCTCTGTCCAAAGCAGGAGTCCCCATCCCCACCACGGACCCCACCATTGACACTGACATCATGGGCACCACCACTACGACTCACCTGAATAAAGGCCACAGTCTTACAAGTCTCCTGGAGCACTTCTTGGGGAAGCAAGGGCAAAGACACAGCAGCGGCCTCTCTCTGCCCCCCCCTGCAGCCCACCTGCACCCTGCTGTCTGTCCTGCAGGCCCAGGAAGGTCTTCCAGCTCCCCAAGGCAGAGGCTGGCACCAGAGGGTCCAGAGTCCAGCTCTGATTGGCAGCAGTCCCGGCCTGAGCAGGGGTAGATGGGGTCCCCGGCCTCCCTGAGCCCGTGGGTAGCCACACCCCACTGAGCAGACCCAGCAGCGTGGTTAACTGGCCACGGAGCATCGCGTAGCCGTCCAGTCGTCCGTCTGTCTTGGAGTGGGCTCAGGGTCCTCTGCAATGGGCCCTGCTGTCTAGAGTGTGAGCCTGGGTCCTCGAGATCTGCTTTTCACCACTGTCCCCTCCTGGGCAGCCCAGGGGTGGTTCTGGGAGCTCCCAGCAGGGAAGGGAGGCAAGCTGACCTGGCCAGTCCCACAGCTCCTCCCAGCCTGCTGGGAGTCCCAGTGGGGGCTGACCCGCTCCATGGGGACCATGAGAATCAAGTGACATCACCCCCTTCAGCGGCTGTGCACCCTCAAGCAAGGGAACCACCATGGGCTTCAGCCTCCTCTTCAGCAGCAGGGCGCCTCTGACAGTCTCTGCCTCAGGGTTGTACTGAGGACTCAGAAGGACCTGAAAACAAGTGTTGACACACTTTAGTCTCATGAACCCATGATGCTTTTCCTTCCTGTTCTGAGGAGGGCACCCTATGAATGACAATCAGGGAGCCCTGTATCATGCCTGTGCCCAAGCAGTAATGAAGTAAGCGAGCGAGCGAGCGCTGCCGTTGTTGTCTTATCGGGTGGGCGGGTGGACACAGCACTTCCTTTGAGACCGCCACGTCTTGTGCCTGCTCCACTCATTCTCCTGAGTGCAGAGATTACAGGTACTGGCCTCAGCTCCCATGTCATCCCAGCACTAAAGGCTGAGGCAGGGAAATCAGGAGTTTAAGGGCAGCCTGGGCTTTCAAAGCAAAAAATAAAATGAATGCAACGAGCGTTGGAGGAGTCAGGGTATGGATTTCTGATCCCAGGGCAGTCAGGAAGACCCCCAGAGAAGGTGACACTTTGTTGCAGAGCCCTGAGACACCGGGAACAGAATTGTGGGAAGTACACAAAAGATGTGAGACTGCGTCCCAGGCTTTGGGACCCTCGAGGCGCCTGGGGGGTCCAGCCCTAGCACCTCAGAGAAGTGCATCTCACACCCAGGTGAGGAAGAGCAAGGCCAGGCCGCTGGAGCGTGAGAAGCTGCGGCCTTGGTCTTTCCCGCGGCGCCATCTGGCGGCCGATCCCGGGACTGCATGGCTGCCGCCCGGACACCCTCCTCCAGGAGGCTAGCCCCACCCACCCATCCTTTCTGCGGTCCTCCAGCCAAGGTCAGTTCCGTTGTGCCAGAGACGGACGCTCCAAATATCGAGGCGGCCTCGACCCTTTTCTGCCATGTCGCACTTAATCTCGTGCCACAGCGAGTCTGGTTTGCAGCGGGGTCTCCAGAAGCCCCTCCGCGCCCACTTCCCACTCGCACCCCACTCTCCAGTTTGATGAGCGCACTGACCTCAACCTCCCACCTTCTCACCCGCTCCTCGAGGTCACCAGGGCACGTGAGGGCACTTCCGTCAGGTCAAGGCCCTCTGCTCACAGCTCCAAGATACCCAGCTCCCTTCTGGAGCAGTCCAAGGACCTTCCCAAGCCCCACCGAATCCCATCTTCTCACCCTCGCCTAAGCAGCCTTCTCCCGTGTCACTCTAGCCAGAGTTTCGCAGCTGTTTCCAAACTTCGCAGGCTGCGGCTATCTAAACTATACAGGTGTTTACCCACAATGCCCAGATATTAGGCCTTTTAGGTCATTTAGAGATGACTTGTGGCAGGTTCTCTGCAAATGCTGTGACATTTTATTTCAATTTTTTTTCCGAGACAGGGTTTCTCTGTATTGTTTTGGAGGTAGACCAGGCTAGCCTCGAACTCAGAGACCATTGTGTTTCTGCCTCCTGAGTACTGGGATTGAAGGCTTGCATTTCCACTGTGGACTTTACTATGCTGCTATAGAAGAGGCTTGAGCATCTAGGGTAGCTAGCTATTCTCAAACTATGGGTTGAGAGCCCTTTGGGGGTCACATATCTGATACCCTGCATATCAGATATTTACATATGATTCTTTTTAAATGTGTATCTGTGTGAGGGTGTCAGTCTTGTAGTTACAGGTGTGAGGGGCTGTGTGGGTGCTAGGAATTGAACCCAGGTTAATCCCAGCACTCGGGAGGCAGAGGCAGGAGGATGTGTGTATTTGAAGCCATTCTGGCAGCAAGCTCCATGCTAGCCCGGGCTGCAAAGTGAGTCCTGTCTATAGAGATAGCTGAGGGTGAGTCCTGTCTATAGAGATAGCTGAGGGATATAACTGAAAAAAAAGTTGCCAAGTGTGTGGCAAATACCTGTCATCACAGTAGGAGGGTCAAGAATTCAAGGCCAGCCTCAATTTCATAGTGAGTCTGAGGTTATTCAGGGCTACGGGGTATCTGTGGTGGGAATTTTGATCACACTGTGACACTCCCCAGACTCAAAGTTTACCTAGAATCAGGGGGTGGAGCTAATGACTAGCTGACCAGAATTGGCCATAGAGAAGCCAGCAATTTTGATAGAGAAGACTCTCAGGAAGGAAGGGCGGGGACTTGGGTTTCATGCTTCTTTTTGGTTTGGGGATAAGAGGAGACACATGTTTCTTGCTGGATCTCCAGCCAAAAAGTAAGGTCAAATGGATGCTTCTTGGTTTCTCTAAACTAGCAGGTTTTCACCCCACATCTGATTTCCAAGTCTTTGTTGGTAAATAGAATGATAAAGACTTAGTTTAAACCTACATATCGAGGCTGCAGGACCTAAGGACCCTCCAGCTAGGCTGACAGAAAAACATCTATTCATCTGTCTGTCTGTCTGTCCATCCATCCATCCATCCGTAGGTATAGATGCATATGGGAAATTGCTCAGAGGTTAAGAACAGTTACAGTCATTGCAGAGGACGTAAGTTCAGTTCCCCACATCCATAAGGATGCTCGCAAACAACTGTAACTCCAGTTCCAGGGGATCTGATGTCCTCCTCTGGCCTCTGTGGGCTCCTGAATGAACTTAGTATGCAAACACTCATGAAATCAACCACATGTACACATAGTTTCAAAAAAATCTTTAAAATTACTTTGTTTTTAAAAGGCGGGTGTAATAGTTCATGCTTGTAATCCTAACACTGAGGAGACTGAGACAGCATATCCATGGGTCTCACTAGCTCTCACTAACCAGCCTAACCTACTTAGCAAGAGCCAGGTCAATTAGAGACCAAAACTGAGATGTATGGTGCCTGAGGGACAACTCCCAAAGTTGATCTCTGATCTCGACATGCTCAAGTATGAACATAAATGCATACAGAAAAATCCACATCTCTCTCTCTCTCTCTCTCTCTCTCTCTCTCTCTCACACACACACACACACACACACACACACACACACACACACACACACTCTGTAGGCCTGACCACCTAGAGCAGTTGGGGAATATTATTTTAAGGTGTGTGACTTTTGTTTGTGCTGCGTTTGTTTAACTCTGGGAAGCTGAGTTACTTTGCCTGTCTAAAACACCTGATTGGTCTAATAAAGAGCTGAATGGTCAACAGTGAGGCAGGAGTGAGGATAGGCGGGGCTGGCAGACAGAGAATAAATAGAAGGAGAAACAAGAAAGAAAGAGGAACAAGAGAACAAGAGGAGGCTGTCAGGGGCAGCCCCCCAGCCGCCCATTCATCCAGCTACACAGTAATCCATGGAGTAAGAGTAAGATTACAGAAGCAAGGGAAGAGGAAAAGTCGAGAGGGAAAAGGTAGATGGGATAATCTGCACTAAGAAAAGCTGACTACACTATGAAAATACAAGAGGCTTACAAAACACCAAATAGACTGGGCCAAAAAAAAAAAAAAAGGTTCCCTTGCCACATAATAATCAAAACAATAATCACACAGAATAAAGAAAGAGTATTAAGAACCATAAAGGAAAAAGACCAAGTAACATATAAAGGCAGACCTATCAGAATTACACCTGACTTCTCAGAGGAAACAATGAAAGCCAGAAGGACTTGGACAAATATTATGCAGACACTAAGGGACCACGGATGCCAGCCCGGACTACTCTACCCAGCAAAGCTTGCAATAACCACAGATGGAGAAAACAAGATATTCCATGATAAAACCAAATTTAAACAATACCTATCCACAAACCAGCCCTACAGAAAGTACTAGAAGGAAAATGCCAACCCAAGGAAATCACCTATGTCCATAAAATCATTGGAAATAGATGAGCTTCCAGAAGCAAATCCCAAAGAAGGAATTTGAACACACAATGCCATCACCAACAACAAAAACAAAAATAACAGGAACTATCAATCACTGGTCATTAATATCCATTAATGTAAATGGTCAAAAAATGTAAATGGTCTTAATTCACTTATAAAAAGACACAGGCTAACAGATTGGATACAAAAGCAGAACCCATCCTTCTGCTGAATACAAGAAATACACCTCGGGGCTAGAGAGATGGTTCAGAGGTTAAGAGCACTGGCTGCTCTTTGTAAGGTCCTGAGTTCAATTCCCAGCAACCACATGGTGGCTCCCAGCCATCTGTAATGAGATCTGGTGCCCTATTCTGGCCTGCAGGCACACATGCAGGCAGAACACTGTATTCTTACTTAGTCTAAAAAAAATAAAGAAAAGCCGGGCGATGGTGGCACACGCCTTTAATCCCAGCACTCGGGAGGCAGAGGCAGGCAGATCTCTGTGAGTTCGAGGCCGGGCTGGACCGACAGCCTCCAAAACAATACAGAGAAACCCTGTCTCGTAAAACCAAAAAATAAAATAAAGAAAAGAAAAAAGAAACACACCTCAACCTCACAGACAGATATTACCTCATAGTAAAGGGTTGGGAAAATTTTTTCCAATCAAATAGACGAAAGAAACAAGCTGGTGTAGCTATCCTAATATCTAACAAAATAGACTTCAAACTAAAATCAATCAAAAAAGATAAAGAAGGGAATTTCATATTCATCACAGGAAAAATTCATCAAGCAGAAATCTCAATTCTGCCCCAGACACAAGGGCTCCTGCATTTTAAAAAAGAAACATTACTAAAGCTGGGAGACTTCAACACTCCACTCTCACCACTGGACAGATCAGTCAGACAGAAGCTTAACAGAGAAATAAGGGAACTAGCAGAGGAAAAGTGGACTTAACTCAAATTGACTTAACAGACATCTATAGAACATTCCACCCAAAACAAAAGATATGCTTTCTTTTCAGCACCTCATGGAATTTTCTCAAAAATAGACCACATACTCGGTAACAAAGCAAGCCTCAACACATACAAAAAAAATTAGAATAACCCCCTGTTTCTTATCAGATCACCATGGCTTAAAGTTAGAATTCAACAGCAACATTAATTTCAGAAAGTCCACAAACACATGGAAATTGAACAATGATCAACTGAACCACCACTAGATCAAGGAAGAAATATAAGACTTCCTAAAATTTAATGAAAATGATCTCATACCATACCCAAACTTATGAGTCACAAAGAAAGAAAGCAGTGCTAAGAGGAAAGGTCATAGCACTGAATGTCGATATAAGAAGCTGGGAAAATCGCACACTAGTGAATTCACAGAAAAACGGAAAGCGCTAGAACAAGAGGAAGCAAACTCACCCAGAAGGAGCAGATGGCAAGGAATAGTCAAATTGAGGACTGAAATCAATAAAATAGAAACAAAGAAAACAATGTAAAGAATCAATGAGACAAAGAGTTGGTTCTTTAAGAAGGTCAACAAAATAGGCAAACCTTTATCCAAACTAACCAAAAGACAGAGAAAATATCCAAATTAACAAAATCAGAAACGAAAAGGAGGACATAACAATAGACAACAAGGAAATCCAGAGAATCAGGTCATACTTCAAAAACCTGTACTCCACAAAAATTGGAAAACCTTAAGGAGACAATTTTCTAGATAAGTACCACATACCAAAGTGAATCAAGAACAGATAAACAACTTAAATATATCTATAACCCCTAAGGAAATAGAAACAGTTATCAATAGTCTCCTAACCAAAAAAAGAAAAAAGAAAAAAGCCCAGGGCACATAGATTCAGTGCAGAGTTCTACCAGATGTTCAAAGAAGATCTAATACCAATACTCCTCAAATTAAGAAGGAACATTGCCAAACTTTTATGAGGCTACAGTTACCCTGATAACCAAACCACACAAAGACACAACTAAGAAAAGAATTACAGACCAATTTACCTCATG